TGTTGGAGGACGATGGGGCGTTACGGTTGGAAGTCAGCTATACGTTCCACAAGTCCTGGCAAGGTGTAGGTTGCAAGGCTTGGTTTGGTCATTCAAATGTTCAAGAATACACAAAGGTTTTTTCATGCGTGGTCACCCTCAGACACGTCGTGAGAGTGTTGCCACCACACCTTTAGTGCTTTTCTGCAGGATTTCGCCAGCGTCCGTGTTGGATTGGCCGCCGTTCCGTTTCAACTTGCCCCATTGCCACCACACATAGACAGCAAATCTCACACTCAAGCTCTTCTACATGCTGGCCTCTGATGAGAACGTTTTGTTGCAGCTGAGGCCGCGCCAAGCTGGGTGATGAGCACCGTGACACGCTCACCAGCATTGGCAACCTGGCAATGTTGCTCTTTGCCCAGGAGCGGTTAGAGGAGGCGGAGCCCCTTCTCCGCGAGACCTTGCATGGCTGCAGGAGACCCAGATGAGAAGTGGTGGAGTGGAGATGCACATGTTTGAAGATGATGGGGCGTGATATAGGCTGATTGGTGCAGTCAGGTAGCTATCAATGCATGGAACAAGACCCGTTCCTCAAGACTTGGCGAGGTTGAGAATGCAAGGCTTGGTTAGGTCATTGAGTTGGGTTTTCATGCATGGTCACCCTCAGATACGTCGTGAGAGTTTTGCCAGCACATCTTTGGTGCTCTTCTGCAGGGTTTCGGAAGTGATTCAGTGTCGGATTGGCTGTCGTGTTGTTTCAGCCATGGCCACTACACATAGCATTCTTCGCACCCAAGTTCGCTGAGGCCGTGCCAAGCTGGGTGATGAGCACCCTGACACCCTGAGCAACCTCAACAACCTGGCAGCACTGGTGCAAGCCACGGGGCGGTTGGAGGAGGCGGAGCCCCTTCTCCGCGAGGTTTTGCGTGGCTGCCGGAGACCCAGCAATGAGACCCAGATGCGACCCAGAGGTGAGTAGAGGTGAGTAGAGGTGACCGCCAAAGGTCGGGTTTCGCGTGTGGCTCCCTGTGCTGGCCCAACAGCATCAGCACTCCTTGCCATAAGGGCCTGTGAGCTTGAGGCTTGAGAACCTACGGAGAACGGAGTATTCAGGGTTATTAGGGTGTTATTAGGGTGTCAGCAGGTTAGGATTAAGGGCGCGACGAAAACGAACGATTGAAGTTGATCGGAGTCCGCATGCGGTTACACATCTTGTAACTAGCCGCCCCATCCGCAAATTTCATTCACATGTATGCGAAGCAACTTTGACACCTCACTTCCCTTACCACCCCCCTATACCACCCCCACCTATCACCTACCTACCCCAACCCTTACAGCCCTCTACAGGCCCCTAGACCCCTACAGCCCCAAGCTCGAAAACCCGCAGACCGCCTGCATTGTCATTGCGGCTAGCCTTTTGATTAATCACAATGAATCACGTTCGAGAAGATGAAGCATAATGAAGTGGCAGAGCTAAATCTTTGGACATCTGACGCCCTTGCTGTCGATCCCGTCTTTTCCGTTTTTAAGAGTCACAGTTGAGGCCGCTCCAAGCTGGGCAATGATCATCCGAACACGCAGAGCGCCATCTTCGGCCTGGCCGACTTGCTGAAGCAGATGGGAAAACTGAATGAAGCAGTGAAGCTGTGTCGCGAGCATCACGAAGCTTGCGCCTTGTCAGGATTAAACCCTAAACCCTAAACCCTAAGGGGAAAGAAGGGACCACAGGCCTGTCTTATGGCAACTTCTTATTCTTTGGGCTGTCATTAGCTTCTTGATCCCGTCGAGGTCGCGCGAGATATGGAGCTAAGCATGACGAGACCCTGTTCGTCCACTTCCACTTGCTGAACCTTCTCCAGGACGCACTGCATGCATCTGAAAACGAGAGAAGGACAGGAGCTTGGGATGCTTGAGGCGGAATCGTTCAGAAGTTCCATCACATTTTCCGTGTTTTCTCCATGATTTTGTGAAGACTGGGATGGTGTGCCGCATGGTGTGCCATGGTGCGCCAGAAGTTTTCTGGGGTGTTTGGAGAGTTTTCCGAAGTCCAAAAAGCTCCAAACGGAACTATTTTAGCTTGTTTAGTCGGCTCATAGTCAGCTCATCCACCAGACTCCTTGTGAAGCATTGAAGAACCGGTCCTGTATAAACCCCATTGGTCCCAATTCGCCTCAAGGCATGACGGCTCTACATGCCCCCTATGCGCTATGGTTTAGGGTTTAGGGTTTAGGGTTTATAAGTTTAGGGTTTAGGGTTTACGGTTTAGGGCTCGCGCCCCCCTCTCTTTGGCAGTTGTCCCTAAATCCCAAATCCTTTGATGGAGACCAAATGAAAGCCTTTCCTCGCCTTTTTTTTTGGAGGAGCAACGCAAGGCGCAGAAAAAGGTCAACTAGTCGGTCAAGCAGTGGGGCTCAGGAGAATGAGGGGTGGAAGCTGGCAGTGCTTGGGTTCGGAACCCTAAACCCTAAACCCTAAACCCTAAACCCTAAGGAAGTCCTCTTGAAGTTATGGAAGTCCCTGCGTGTTGAGGCCCAAGGTCAGTAGCTCAGGGATTGAATTGATTTATTTTAGTGGGGTTCAAGATCAAAGTTTCTTGGGAAGCTTTAAAAAAAGAAAACATTTGGGGAGGACTCGGAGGGCTCCTAAGTTAGCTAAGTTCAAGGCGTTTAGAAAACGAGCCTGCCCAAAGGGCTTGGCCACGCTTTCTGCACCGGTGGGCCTGGGGGGGTGTGCAGCTGGAAATCGTCATCAAGCCTAAGGCTGCATGGGAAGTTGCCTATAAGTCACCATGACCAGCCTGATGGCAGCCTCGCGTGTATCTGGGATCACCCCCCAAAGTTCACCGCGCGCGCTCATTGTTTTCAAATGTTTTCACATGTTTCACCCCGTGCGACACAGACCTGCTCTGGGCGCGCAGCAGCCCTGTGAAGCATCATGGGGCCTATATGAGACGTGTATATCATTATATAGGGCATATGCTGGCACATCTGTGTATGTGTATATATGTATATGTATATGTATATGTATATGTATATGTATATATATATATATATATGTTTACACACATATACAATTGTTTTCGTGCATATGCACATGTGTATATACATATATAAACATATATCATTTTATTTGTTTCTATAGGCGGTAGGTGCTATGTAAATGCACATTTACATATATGTATATATGTGCATATATCCACACATTGTTTGCCATCAGCCGGAAAACGGTCAGAACCGCCATCGTGGAAGGCGCCGGCCGCGACAAGGCGAGCACAGAGGACCCAAAGACTTCCCAAGACACCCTAAGCTGGAGAGCATCAACCTGCAAGGTTGTTTAGGGTCTTTAGGGTCTTTAGGGTTTAGGGCTAATGCCATAAAATTGCCTCTTGATTGATAAATGAATTGGTAGAGGAGATATTGAAAGAATATAGTCCTGCAAGCGGCATGTTTAGGAGCTTGTTTTTCAAGTGAGAGAGGATGCTACAGAAAGCTGCTATGCCTGCGCTGGGTATGAATGTTTCGATTTCGCAGGCCGTGTGGCTTTGCAACCAAAACAAGCTAGCAAACAGCAGCCGGCGACTTGTGCAATCCTCGCTGGCTGCGGCTCTTGCCGCCTCAAGTATTTTGAGGCTCTAGGACAAGCCCAGATCATCTCACAGCCGTCCGCCAGCTACGCTTGTGGAGCTTTCCCAAAGCAGCGGTTGTGGCCGCAGAGCCCTTCTCCACTAGCCTCTATATAGTTTTACACGGAGTTTGAGCCGCTAGAGCGCAGCATCTGTGGGTAGGGCTGACCCCGCCCAGTTTGAGACGTGAGGCTTCGTGCAGCCCTGGAGTGGCAGGAAAGCTCCTCTTATTCGCAGGCCGTATAACCCTAAAAGGGGAGCTTGCGGCACTTAGACTTCGCGCGCCGATACCGTTTCAATCAATTATATAGTTCTTGCTGAGCCTCATCCTGAACTTGTTTTTTCTCCCAAGGCGTGTCGTGACAGTTAGCTCGCTATTCCTCGCTTCTGTTTGACAATGACAAGGGAGAGAAAGGCTTCCTGCTCTTCCATGGGCTTCGTGGTTCTCTAGAACTTCCCACGAGGCTTTCTGAATGGACAAGGTAGGGGTTCGGGACAATTCTTCCTTTGCTTTTAGCTGTTGTCAGCTTCAGCACATATCAGCACATGATTACTGCTTCACAGCTGCCAGCGTAGCTCAGTTTATTTTGCGTCGGCTTCTTTGAGCGTAGAGTTTTCTCCTGCAGTTGTTGGCTGCTCGTAGCCATTTGGGCTTTCCTCGTCAGCTCACCCGTCCCGTGCTGGCAGCCTTACGGCCTGGATTTGGCCACGGCCTGGGGCACTTTCTAGCACAGAAATGAAGAACATACTTTGGGATGTTCCTTCTTCTACTAACAGTCCTCAATAGGGATTCTAGTACCCCCCCCCCCCCCCTACAATCCTCATTGGAGACTGTTAGTATAGGGGGGAACATCCCGAAACATACCACTGGACGCAGGCAAGTTTAGCCTTGGGCGGTAGGGCACCAAAATCTTTGCATCTCTTTGCACTGTGTCGATGCAAGGTTGCGGGGTCTTAGGGCGTTCAGTCCTCCTTCGAGCTTCCTTTGTTGTGGAACTATCTTGTTCAAAGCAGCGGTGTCCCACTTCGCCGCTTGATGCCGAGCATCATTCGCTTCGTCTGGTTACTTTGTTGCTTGCCATTTCCTCAGATGGAGGTTTCCGAAATTGGGGGTACCTTATCAAATGGCCTTACTGTAAAGGGAATCCTACTATTGGGGGTTCTAGATTGGGGTCCCTGATTATCGCATACACCCCCAGAGTGCCTGCAAGTCACTTCAAAACGAGATTTTTGAGGTCCGCATCCGGAGGCAGCCATGGAGTCATCTTTTTCCCGTGGGGCGCCTCAGGTGCGCTGTCAGGGCACCTCTTTGAAAGGGTTCAGGGTTTAGAGTTTAGGGTTTAGGGTCCAGGGTGTAGGGTTGGTAGGGTTTAGGGGGCCCGTTTCTTGTTGCCAG